AGGTCGAAAAAAGTTTTTGAGCAAAAAAAATTATTTTGACCGCTCTATCGTGTAGAGCACGTCGAGTTATGTTTAAAACTCCATTTTTTCCTGCTTTAAAATCTATACAGTCGTAAAAATTAAAAAAAGAATAAAGCTAGACAAACGAAGCGCTGTTGGAAAATACAGGTTTTTTCAGTGAATAAATTTTTTAAAAATCTTTCTTGGTGAAATTTGAATCTTAGTTAGAGGATTTAAAGCAGAAAAAATATAGTTTTATACATAACTTGCCGTGCTCTACACGATAGAGGGGTCAAAATAATTTATTTTGCTCAAAAACGTTTTTCGACCTGAAACCTGGTTTTCCAGAAAACTAGGTCTAGACGGCCTAGCGGCAAAAACCATTATGATATTCGGAATCAGCGTACTCGATTACCTAGAACCCACTAGGTTTCGCTTGAAAAGCGAGAGGACCTTGGGAATGTTCCCTCATTAGTTCCATCTATTCCTGAGATAAATCGACAAAATATCATAAGACTATGTTATTATCTTTTATAGTAAGACATAACACACTTAAAATGACTGTAATTATATATAGATTTGTAACGAAATATTTCCTATAGAAATAATTAAAACAGCTGATTGCACTGTCAAGAAAAGAGCGAAAGCATCATACTGTAAACAATCGTACTCTGACATACTTTACATAAGCAGGAGATTCGCAATACAAAGACGCATATCTAAAACATCACACCTCTAATGAATTATAATTTTTCTAATCTTTACAATATTCGTTACATGTCAAAGTCAAACTCTATTTCGACATCCACATTGGTTTAATAGATTCCAGTGAACTTTATTATTTCAATACAAGATATAATCAATCAATCAATTTGTATCTTATTCAAAATAGAATCAACTATAGTTGCTTTTCATAAAGATAATCATAGATACATATTCATCGTATGCTTTTTTTTACTATATGTAAGATTAAATTAAATCATTTTTTTTTGTTTTATTCTTATTCATTTTAAGAACAGCGACTAGCGATAAAAAATAATATCAGAGTTCGACGAAAGAAAAAAGAATAAATATTCATTCATAAATTAATTGGACTATGGATTCCTAAATGCCGCTATATTTTTTTCATCGAGGTCATCCATTCATTCTATTCAATCATAGCCGTTGGCATTAACAAACAATGAGCATATATATACATGCATAAGAAGAAAATATTAGTCAAATTCAACATGAATCAATATAACGTTGGTCTTCTTGATTTACCTAATGAAATATTACTTATCATTTTGAAAAAGCTCAGCAATATGGAGGTTCTTTATTCGTTAATGGATGTTGATGATCAACGACTTAACATTATAATACAAGAAAAAACCTTTACTAATACTCTCAATTTTGTAGTGACAACATTAACTGATGATATTTTTCCGCTTACTGATACAATAGTTGATCGATTTTGCACAACTATTTTGCCAAGTATTCATCACAATGTTAAGTGTCTTATTGTTGATTCAATATCTATGGAACGCATTCTTCTTGTTGCTGATTATCCTAATTTAACTGAACTTAAACTCTTTAATTTTAATCGTAAAATAGTTTCACGTTATTTTACAGGTAAATAACATTACGTATTGATCAGAAGAAAGATTTCGATGAAAAATTGTTGCATAGATAGACAAGAGAATAACTATTTATTTTGTTTTTTATTTAGATCAATCACCATTTCGACGTATTTCAAAAACAAATTACAGATCTTATTCTTGATTTCAAAAAAGATTTGAGTAAAATATCAGTAAAACATTATACAATAGATGTGTATGGATATATTATGAAATTCTTCGAAAATCTAAAACATTTATCTCTTATTGGATCATATCCCCACTATTTTCCACCTTTGGTACTTGATGATTTACCATTAACTACCTTATTCTCTTCAACTCTTAACAAATTATGTATTCATGTGGCCGGTTTTGACGATTGTCTTTCTTTACTTGATGGTCGTCTCAAACAATTAACCACCTTGATTGTTCATATGTATGAGATGGGATATGGTCCATCGAGAGTTTACAATATGGTAAGTTTATATTTTAGTTTAATCTTTTTAACTGAAAAAAAAATACTATTGATCAGAGCAGCGACGGTTTTCATATAATTCCAGATAGATTCGTTTTGCTAGTTAATTACTATTTAAATGAACTCTAATTAAATAGTTGTAAAATGACTGTTTGTCTATTCGATGAGGAAATATAGTTAATTTTGTATATTATATTTAATTATTAATTATTTCGTGCTGATGAGTTGATTTGAAGAAATAAATCGAATGATTGGTTTTTATTTTAATAAACAAACTGTTTAGTTTTAGTTAGTTTTTTATCTATTGATCATGTATCATTTTCTACTCAAAAAATGATCAGTTTTAAAAATAAGACTGAACGTGTTCATCTTCAGATATTTTGAAAATATCTATAGTTATACAATAAGTCGAGAAGAGATCAAACTTATTTCTTCACAGTTGCAATCAATCTTTGATTTTTTCCTCTTAGTCATTTTAATCATTTTCATTATTTTATAACATATAGAAAAACTATAACAATCACAAATATTAAAGAGTATAAGTGTCAAAGGCAATAAGGAAAGTGAAAGAAAACTAAAAGCAA